TATACAAATTGCTGTATCACATCAGTTACCCTTCCATTGATTGACATATTGCCTTTCTAGTGTCTGATGTATTCTGCTGTCTGTCCTATTCTCTACTATCCCCTTTCCCCTCCCCTCCCCTCCCCTCCCCTTTTCTCATCCCTGTTTAATGTATCTTATCAAGTGTCTCCCATTGTCTGGAGCTAATGAGAACTTTCCTGGAGACAGAGCAGGGTGAAAAGGTGGAGAGTGGAGAAACAGGCAAACTGAGGATATCCAGCCCACATGGTTCTGGGGAAACTGGAAAAATGGTGCCCTCCTGCCCCAGAGCTGAATTCTGGATGCCCAAACAGCACAAAGGCTGAGAACTGGACATTGAGGTAAAGAGAAAGCAAATGCATCCTCCCCCACAAGGAGTGCACTTCTCCTATCCCAATGCTGGCCGCAGGGCTGGGCTTTTCTTTTCCTAAAGTTGTGATATAAACTGAGGAATGGCCTCTGGGCAGAATAGAGAGACAAGGGTCTTTCACACTGGCCACCTAGCACAGCCTTTGTCCTCAGGTAAGAGTTCCTTCCACAGAGAACTTGAAAGTCACAGGGGTCTTCAAGTTTTCATTTGCTTTATTGTCTGTACATTTCTATCTTAATGACATCCTCTTTGCCAAATATTTGTGTTTTCTGTCCTGAGGGTACTGGCGATCACCCTGTCCTCCCTGAAATTCTCTCTCTCTCTCTCTCTCTCTCTCTCTCTCTCTTCATTTATGCCTGCTCTCTTTACCAGTCTTCTTTGCTAGGTCCCTATGAAAGGGCATGGTTTCTTCAGCCTTTTCTCATCAGTTTGATTTCTCTCCCACGATCACCTCGGGTGCCTTCATTCATTTCCATGGCTCTAACTGCTCAGCGTCTCACCTACACTGAATCTCATCACCTCCACATGAGGTACACAAACAAATACCTCCCTGGTGCCTCAAACACAACCTTCCAAAACCAAACCTCATTATGCTCTACTCAAAGCTTGCTGTGATTTCGCTCCATGTTGTATTTCAGTTAATCGTCTTGTCATTCCCTTGGTCACCCAAGCATACGCCTAAGGTAATCCTCCTCTCTAACTTGCACATTCATTCAAACTGCAAGTCGTGCCAATTTAATTTCCTAAATGGCTCTCCAAACTACCATCTCTCCATCCTCTCAGAAGCTATGTTGTTTTAGTGCTGAGTCATCTCTTACCTAGACGACTAGGAAAGCTTTAGCGCTGCTCTTTGTCTAAAGGCACCCTCTTCCAGGCGTCAACCTTACCTTTCTTGGATTAGTACACTCACAGCCCCACTGCCACTCACTCCCCTCCCTGGGCGAACCACAGTCCTTTTAGAGCTCTGCTTCTGAGCCTGTGCCCCACTGCTAGGCTCCACGTGTGGTTCTCTCTACCCTCCGCAGCAGGATCTCACCTCCTCACCATTCTGTGTTTGTGACACAGCAAGCTCCCCACAATGGGTCCGGCTCTGATACTACTGCCTTTGTGCCTCTGTGCTTTTTCATCCTGGTAAATTCTTGCTCACATGGAATCCCTACCTTCATGCCATCTTTTCTTCATTACCAGGGATAATCCTTTCCTCCTCTGGATGAATTTTGCACAGATGTTTGATAGACCATTTATTGCCTTGTGTTACCAAAATTTCTTACTCCCTACCCTGGTGCCTGGCATGTGACTGTCAATGAAGTTTCAAATTGGTTGGTTCAGTTCAGTGACGAGTTTCAATATAAAACAAGTTCCAGATTTAAGTCTATGACCACTTGAGTTTTTATTTTACCCCTCATTTATACACTGTATATCATACGACGGTGGCTTTTAGCAATAACGATGAACAATGCTGATTCAATATGGAACTCCTCTCTTCTCTCTTCCCTTCCAGTACCTTCACCACACTAAAGACAAGCGATGTCAAAAACTCAAATCAGAGCTTGTCTCCCTCCTGTCTCAACTTCTTCAGTGGCTCTCTCTTATTCTGTCACTGAAGTCAAAATCGTTGGCAAGCCAATAGGATGTGCCATCTTACTTTACACCATGCTGTTCTTGACCATCAGGCTCAGACACCTTGACTGCGGTGCTACAAACAGACTCAATTCCTGCCCACCTATCTCTTTCACAAGTGCTGTTCCCTGTTTGGAATGGTTCTCCACCTCCTCTCCCTCCAACACCTCTTCACTTGGGTAATAACCATTACAACTACATGTCAAGTTCAACACCCCTGATCCTGTCACTGACTGTGGTTACCTGGCATCTTCAGGCCTTCAGTACGTATGTGCAGATGGTACACCAGCCACATGTACAATTTCTCACAGGATATTTGCACTCCAAAGAAGTCTAACATAAATATTTGTGATGACAACTTACCCACAAGTGTATGTAACATGTCTCCAAGAGGCAGAACTGTTTTTGAAATGTGCACAAACTTGATGCATTGACTGTCACTCTGATTTATTTTTTTCTTCTTAAAACTTTGCCTATATAACAGAGACCAGAGTTGCCTTTATTTAATTTTTAATTAATTATTCATAAAATTTTGAACATTTAGATTCTCTCTCTCATGCCTGAGTGCACCTTCCCTTTGAGAAGAGATTGACTTTGTCTTGGATGTTGTTTCAACTGCACAGCCTGCCTTTAATTCTGCCACTTGGGTCCTGTTAGCAATATGTTTTGAGACTGGCTGCGTCCTGGCTTAGTGTCCTGTGGTGGCTGAACCTGGGGTCTTAAGCAAACAGGGCTGCTCCTTTCAACTTGACACACATTTGTGTCTGTCCACAGAGCCACAAGAAAGCAAATAAATCATGGTTGGCTGGTGACTTATTTAGTCCTCTGACAGAAATGCCAGAGCTGCTCAGCACCTAAGATGCTTGGTAGCATTAACCAATAAAAATCTGTCAACATTTTTTTGCTTTTTAAAATGCATTCCTTGTAGTTAGAAGCTATTTGTATTGAGTAGAATGGCAAGCAGACATAAGTCCTACTGAGTTTATCATCCAGGCTCTATATCCGTATATAATAGTGCACGGCATTTTAGTAGTTTATCTGACACCACAGAAACAGCCACACTTAGCAAACTCGGAGACTCTGGCGGGTTCCCCTGGCAACCGGAGTCGCTTCAAGGCATCTCAATGCTCTGCCCATGTTGACTTCAGTTTATTTTGGCCATTAGTTTGGTTAAGAAAAAGGGAGAAAATTAGGGGTACATAAATTAAACAAAACCACTTTTATTATAATCAGTGTTATTTTATCTTCAAAAGACTATCTCAACTAGTAGAGTTTTCTTTACCAATGATCAGCATTAGGACATCTTCTTACATTTTAGAAGTCCTGGCTGAGTTCTGCATCCTGCTTTAGTTATAGAAATATATTCCAGAGAAACCCTTTCATACTCATTATGTACAGTCTGTCTTCTCTATACATGGTTGCTGTATCTGTGGATCAACCAACTGCAGATTGAAAAATACATACATATTAAATTGTGGTTTTACTAAACACGTACAGACTTTTTATTTCTTGTTTTTATTCCATAAACAATATAGTCTGTTTGCATAGCAGTTGTATTATGTCTAATATTATGTCATCTAAAAATGATTTAAAGCTTAGAAGAGGGCATAGCTTATATACAAATACTATGCCATTTGATATAAAGGTCTTAACCACCTGTGATTTTGATATCTGTGGAGGTTCTGGAACAAATCTTCAGAGAATACTGAGGGACAACTATATACATGAGAAAAGGAGATAGAATTTAAATTGATAGAATTGTATTGTCCGACTCTTAGAATTTTTTACAATTGTAAAACTTTACCTAAATCATTTAAAGTAGTACATTTTCCTTTCTTCTTTTCTTTGTTAAATACCTCCCTCCTAAATTTGTTTTGCGCTTGGGGCATATGGGGTCTGCATTTGTCTCCTTACATGAAACAGTTCTGTTCAATAGACACAAGGCAAGAACCTATTGAACATACGTGTTTGCACATATGGAACATATGAGTTTGAACCCAGATCTAGCTGTGTGAACCACCTATCTGTGTGCTAAGTAAAGAAAACAACCACTGTGGAAAGTGAGTGCAATAGGAAGATAGGCACACTTTCAAAAGTGTGTACCACAAAGACAGTTGTGTCTTTAATTCATGAGATCATAGATAAATAGATAAGTAATAGATGAAAAGATACATGGGTAATTTTGGATTTCCCAATAGTTTTCATCGACAAACTATTTTCACCTTCTTTTCAACTCTAGTACTATTCAGTTTTTGCTAATTCTAAATAAAACGTCTTTGCTTGGCTAGTTTGGTGATAGCATAGGATCATTCTGGCAGGAAGTTAGTCTTTAGGAGGTAAGATTCTGTTTGTCATCTTCCTTATGGAGAAGTAACCCCTAGATACATGGAGGTTCCAGAAGCGCTGATTATTTTTAAAAAACCTGGTACTTTCCAGTAAGAATTTGTACATAGGCAGGGCACCGTGGTTCAGGCTTGTAATCCCAGCAGCTCAAGAGTAACCCCCCCCCCCCGCAAAAAAAAAATAATTTACAAACAGACTTAAAGGATACAAGATTTGATAATCTTGAAACTCAAAGTTGAAGTGATACCGTTGGCCAAAGGGAAGCTTTTCTTTTGCTCTTCATATCATACTTCTCCAGAGTTGTGCTGAGGTGTGATCTTGAACTTGAACTATGGAAAACAGTTTGTTAGGTTAAGACAGTGAATCCACTTGGGAAATTCACTGCCTAGTCCTTGTTTTCCTATCCCACCTCCAATACCCAATGAGAAAGGGGAATGTCCCCACTTTCTTTGCGGATCTTCACCTTAGTGACAGTCCTGGATCCCTGCCTTTGCCCCAGGGCCTCTTTCACCCAGCTGAATGTGGCAGTAATTCTTGGACTGGCAGTCATACAAGAAATTGTGGTGACTGAGTTTCTCTACAGAGGTTAAATTCTGGGCTTTAGAGTAAAGAAGGACAGTGTGATGGCTTCCAGGATTAATGTAGGGGAGAGAAACACCATCACCCTCCAGGACCAGGAATGAGGCCTGGGTAAGGACAGTGTTTTGTCTTGGTAGATAATAACACGCTATACAGTTAGTACCTATAAGATGCAGTTTAGGGGCAGCCTGCCACTCCAATTGAGGAAGACTGAAAGTTACAAAATGCACAGCCAATTCTATGTATGCACCTGAAATCATTAATATTTTAGGACCTGGTCTTATTCTAACTGGATTATTTCACAACTTTATATGAATCACTCAAACAAACAAAATACAGATAAAATTACCATAGCTTTTCTCATTAAAAAAAAAGATGTGTCAGACAATAAATTCTAAACACATTATGAATTATCCAGATGAACACTGGCACTAAATAAGCATGCCCCTTCCTATTACTGAATGTAAATGACCCAGAGCTCAGACTTAGGTCACGGGGAGGCTTTAGAAGCATTAAAACAAGGCAGTGTGCGCCTCTAGGCAGGCAGTTAGTGCTCAGGGTGAGTCTGCGGGGCTCTCCTAGGGCAGCAGGGCTGGGGGGGTGGGGGGGAGTAGCTCTGAGTGGGCGGGGCCGAGCGCGATGGGCGGGCCTCGGGCGGGAGCCAGAGCCCAGCTCTCAGCCAGCGGGTACCCAGCGCCTGGCCTCATCCAACCTGCTTCCAGTCCCCCTAAACTGCCTCCAGTAGTGGGAGCCCCGCACTGAGCAGGAGAAACTGGGACCGTGTTTGGCAAAACGCGCTCTACTCAGAGCGTCAGAGAGGTCCAAGAGCCAGTGACGCGGGGCGACAGGTGCACACAGACCCCGAAGGCTGAGCCAGACCTGGGAACACGCGGTTCCACAGCGACTACTTCGTTTGCCAACGGGAACAAGAGGTGAGCTTTGGGCTTAGGAGGCGCAGTCCCAGCTAGGACTCTGTGCTCTGGGCGGGAGGGGGGGGGTCCCTTGTCCTTGGAACTCAGATCAGCAGTCTGCGGACAGTTCTATCAGGGGACAGTACCTAGGAATTGGCGGGGGCTCATCTTAGAAGCGAGTTCTCTCCACCCCTGCGGGTCATCAAGCGGGGCGTCAGCTGACTGGGAAGGCAGCGAGGTCTGTCCTCCCCATCCCGCCCCCCGGGGGAATGTGCGACGAGTTGAGCATCCTTGGGGCTGCTGGTCTCCAGCGCTGCCAGCCTCTGCGCGCTGGCCCCCGCGCGGGCAAAGTTTGCCTCTCCAGGTCCAACGTGTCCTCTCGCTTCCACAGCCGCGCAGGTGCCCACCTTTCCTCGACCTCCAGCTGCAGCCGCCCCGCAATGGAGACACCGGTCCAGATCTTCCGTGGGGAGCCAGGCCCCACCTGCGCCCCCAGCGCCTGCCTGCTCCCCAACAGCAGCGCTTGGTTCCCCGGCTGGGCCGAGTCAGGCAACGGCAGCGCCGGCTCCGAGGAAGCTCAGCTGGAGCCCGCGCACATCTCCCCCGCCATCCCCGTCATCATCACCGCAGTCTACTCGGTGGTGTTCGTCGTGGGCTTGGTGGGCAACTCGCTGGTAATGTTCGTGATCATCCGGTGAGCACCGGGGTCAGGGCGTGGTGGAGACAGGGCGAGGCAGGGAGGGAAGCAGCGGGATCCTGGAGCAGCCAGCCTGGTGGTGGGGGACTCCTCTGTGCAGGGTTCAGGAAATTCTGGGAGGGTGGCTTCTTGAAACAGGCGAAGGATTTTTAGTGGGGGACTGCAGGCCTGAAGCGCCTCCAGGATTTAAGAGAGACCTACCTACCGGGCTCCCCATCCCAGGGCGCCAAAACCCTCTGAAAACAGTGTGTGTGAAGGTACCAAGGTTCAGACTGTATGGTCAATGTCTCTTGATCAAGAAGCCAGATGGTTTTCGTGGCATTTTACCTGGTTGCCTGCTCCAGTTTGCAGCACTTTGTTTGCCCTTTAAATATTTCTTAAGATGAATTTCAGGCCCACCAAGTGCACTGAAGGCAATTCAGAATTTTCTGTGACTCATCAGACTGATGTTATGGCTTATGAAACAAACAAACAAACAAACAAAACCTAATATTCTATTTAAGGTTATAATACTACATATAGGAGCCTTTTTAGTACTAAAATGCTTCATATCTTTACACTATCAGTGACTTTTGTAAATTAGCCAACTAATATTCATCCTCTAAACTGTGGACTGTGCAGATAGTTTTGAAATTGCTTTGCTGTTTCTTGCACCAGGATGAGATATTAAAGGTTTTTATTTTATTGCTCTTTTGTGGAATTTTGTTGATGTTAACTTCCAATAAAGTTCCAAATATCCACATAGGTGCTAAATTTCTGGTAAGTAAACTGATTCTTAATTTTAAATAGAAAGAAAAGGGAAAAGATGTACTTTGATATGTATGCCTTTTGAGATATATGTGCTTCACTTTCTCGAGACAAAATGCTTAGGAAATAAACCTTGGGGTGTGTATAAGAAAGCTTACATTCCTTCCTGTTGTCCCTAAAAATGGAGGAGGCAAGTTGCCCTGATTAAGGACATTGAAAGGATGAAGAACTAATTATTTCTTCTTTCTCCTCCTCTTCTTCTCTTCTTCTTCCTCTTCTTCTTATTCCCATTCCCCTTCTTCTTCTTTTCTTCATCTTCATGTTGACTTTAGTTTTGAGGCAGAGCCTTTAATTGTGAACTTTAAAAACAATATCTACAGTAGCATGAATCTTTCTACTGGAAAGTCACCATAATTAAATTTCCTCTTTATCTTTTTGGTGGGGAGGGAGCTTTGAAATGTCAGGTCTTTTATCTCCAACTATACTCAGAAGTTAAAAATCATCAGTTAAGCCTTTAAATACATATTATAAAGCTCACTTTACAGTTAGAATCTGTAGCATGCTACCCTTAGTTTCCACATTGCTTATCGCATTTCATTGCAATTTCTATGTGATGAGTAAAGAATATGAGAAAATATGTTAAAGACAAATCATTGGTCCAAGTCATTAGTAATTTCAGGACTGGTTTCCATTCAAAGAGAAAATTACACAAAAGAACAGACAACTGTATTCTACATTGTAATTAAAAATTTTAGGAGATCTTGGTATAGAGGTCCTTTTTTTTTTTTGGCAATGAAACATTATACAAAAAGAGGACTCTGACAAACACATCTCCTCTGTTTCTACTCATCCCATATTAAGTGCTTAAGTGAAACAGGTACATCTTATTGTTACTCGAATGAGTACCTGAAATCTTGAGTTTGAAAAGAGCTTCCTAGCTGCTCTTCAATGTTTTAAATGGCTGTAGACTAGAATTAAAAAGAATGGAGAATCCTAAAGCAGCACTTAGATGCTCTGTGCAAAGATAGACATGTTGGGAGGAAGAAAGGAATTCTTGCAGATTACATAGGACTTTATTGGATAGACTTCCCAAAGATAGCCACTATTAAAGTTTGTTAGATGGAGATAAATTCAGCTAAAAATATTTTAAAAAGAAGTTCACAGAACAATGTCATCCAGTCTCCTACCACATTCTCACTATTTAGAGGTTAAGTATGACAATAAATGAAAATGAAGTGTTACACTGCTACCCTGGAAAGCTATTTTTGACAGTTCACTTAAATTCATAGCCAAGAGGGTAACAAAAAAGTTTTTAGAATTTGTTCATGCTGAGAGATGATTCAAGAATTGAAAAATAAAACCTTTGAAGAAAAGGTGATGGGCTTGGGTTTACTTAGCTCAGGAGAAGAATAGGATGATGATTCAAGAGAGGGCAACGAGAAGGAGGTTTGATATGCTTTTCAGGACTGAGCCAAGTCAAGTATGGAATCCACATGCCCTTCTTCTAATGGAAATTAGGGGCTTGACCACTTTGCTTGAAAAGATGGAGCATCAGTTTTGAGAAAGACACTACTTTAAAATATTATACATAGAAAAATTTCCTAGTGTAACTCAGTCTTAAAGAAAATCCTTTAAGAGGTGACAATTGGATGCTCAAATGAAGGGCAGTTATAGGTCTAGGATGGAAAGCTCCAACTTGGGGAGAAAATCAGAACTGTGGAACTAGAGCTTTGGAAAACTAGAGCTTGATGACTATTTTTAGACCTGCTTTACAAGTAGTTTTTCCCACCTTGAGCACCTGGGAATGCTGCCCAGTGTCTTCTGAAGATAAAGTTTCAAGGGTTCTCATCATTTACTGTGCACCAACAATCATGACCCCATTTCACTGTGAATACCTTAAAATCCATGTACTCCAGCCTCTTCCCCTTGCCATACTTTGGGAGCTGTGATCCTTGGATATGCCCTTGGGTACACTTTGCAGGTTCCTAGTGCCATGTTAAACTTTAGTAAACACTCTTGTCCAGCACACCTGTACCCTGGACCTTGGCAGGCAGCCCTACATCTGACATCTTAAACATCCAGTCTCCTACCTTTACCACAACTTTCCATGCTTAACAAATGTCTCCTGCATTAACAAGGATGATTAAAATTTAATGAATGCTTAACATGATGTCATATAGGTAAATCTACATACTTCATGGGAATTATTTTATTTAATCTTAATAGAAATAGATATATTATTACAATACCCATTTAACAGATGAGAAGTCCAAATCAAGGGCAGATTAAACAAACTAAGGTCACTCTTGTTTTCCTATGTCTCTATCCTATTTTCTAACACGAGCCAATTCCTGCTCCCATTTCCTATAAAAATAGGAGCCAGAATTAAATATGCACTGGTTCCCAAACTTTTCATCTGACTATATTCTCTTTTAACAGTTAATGAATGACCTTAACCAGTAGGTCACTGAGGGAGGAGAATTCAGTTTCTGTGGTCTCTTCTCCTGTGCATATTGATATCTACTCTCTCTACATTCTGTTCCATCTCAGGGGAAGAACTTCTTTATTTCTATACCAGTTCCTGTGTTTTGACCCTCATCCTCTGGAGGCTTTGCTATCCAGTTATCTCCTTTTACTCTATCTGAAATCTCTCCCTGTCCACTGTCCCTTGTCCATTCAGCACATGAACATGCTCAATATCCACCAACCCTCCATTTTTCTGAGTTCCTCTAGCTAATGTCCTTTATCATCCTGTGCATTGCAGATAGGCGGACTTCTTGGAGGAATAATCTATTCTCTTGGTTTCATTGTCTCCCCCATTTCTCTTTTTCCTGGTTCCACTTGGTTGCTTTGCTTGAGACTCCTGTACCAAAGTTATGGCTTCATGTTTCAGAGGCTTGTTGGAGTTTGGCTGGTGCCTGACATCTGTGGAGGTCTAGCATGCTTTGCCCAACCTTGGGTTTCTCTGAAAACCCTCATTCCTCAGTTTCCCCCTCATCTTCTGGGCTTCTCTTCACATATTCCTCTTCCTCTGATGTTTTTCCTCGGGTCTTCTCAGCTGTCTTATGTCCCCACTTGACATATTCTTTGTATTAGTCAAGGCTCAACCAGCTAAGCAGAACCAGTAGTGGACATGCATGCTAAGAGATGTCTTGCAAGGAATTGGGTTACATGGTTGTGGAGCTAGCTGGCTGGGCACATCCAAAATCCATAAAGGCCATGCTGCAGAAAGCTGGAAAGGACAGGCTGATATCCCCAATTAGAATTTCTTCCCCAGCAAACCCCAATTCTGCTCATAAGGTTTATATATCAAGCCCACTTAGATGATCTATGATGATCTCCCTATGGTCTAGAATGATCTCAGCTAATTATGTCCTTTAATCACTTCTAGAAAATACCTTCACAGCAACACTCAGATAGGTGTTTGGAAGACCTAGTCACAGCCTGGCTGAGAGGATACAGCATACTGTCCATTACACCCACTTTCAATGGTTTGGGCCATTCTTATGACTTTAACTGTCAGGTACATTCTGAAAAATCCTAAATCCAATCTCTGACTCCCAGTTATCCATCCCTTCTGCAGACTCAACTTCCTTCTGGATGGCTCTATGTGATGATCTCACTAGCATCTTGGGTTTCTAGAACATCTGCCTACCCTGGTCTGCAAGGACTGAACTTACCAAGTGCCACAAACTGGGTGGCTTAAATAGCAGAAAGTCATTGTCTCAGTTTTGGATGCCAAAGTCTAAGATCAAGGTATCCACTGGGGTGGCCTTCTCTGAGTTCTGCTTTTTTCTTATAGATATCTATCTTCTCCCTGTATCCTAATATGGTCTCTCTGTACAGTTGTATCCAAATCTCCACTTTTTATAAAAGCAACAATAATATCAGATTAGGACATACCCAGATGTCCTCATTTGACCTTATTTACTTCTTTGGAGGCCCTGTCTCTGAGGTATTGGTGACTAGGACATTAACATAGTAATTTGGGGAGGACACAGCTCAACCCAAACACAACCCCTTCTCCCTCTATTCTCCTTAAGAGAACACTCTTCTCAAGCTTCAAATTCCATAATGTTATGTTTATTTTTGTTTAATTTAGAGGAAAGCTATACTTCTGTAAAGGTTTATGAATAAACAAGGAAATGTTTACTTAGAGAAAAAACAGGATCAGAAAATTCTTTAATTATTGGTCATAAGTTTTGCCTTTCCCTTTTATCATTAGTTTTCACTAATTAGTTGCTAGAGTT